TTGTGCATGTGTACTTAGCTGAGACGTTTGATGTTACAATAATATGGGTTTATGGCGGCTTTTGAATTTAAAATGTTGTATAGCTTCTGCTAAATTTGTTTCTGTTGTATATTTGATGAAAAAATCAGCCATCTTTTCCAATTACCTTGTGTATAAATAACAAAAAAATTTGGGGATAGATATTAATTGGATGGTAACTAATACATAGATAGATGTGTCGCAACTAAAAGCGCCCCCAATTTAATTGTGGACAAGGAACACGTGTTCACAGCCCACCCCTGCATGCAGCCATGGTGTTCATCTCCTACCGCTAATCCGCTATATGTCAAATTCTTCAAACAGAAAAATAAATAAGTAAATATAAACCAAAATAGAAATATAAACTCTTATCAATTCCACATTGCACAATATCTATCCACATCCCTTTTAAGTTTCTTCACCTCTGCAAAATTATTCACTTACATGTTTTCACACTGAAACACACTCACACACACACTACACAAACAGAGGAAAGATGGATCTGGTCAACGCAGTTCTTGACTTTTTTGTGCCGCCGGCAAGCTTGCTGATGCTGGCCTTTGCATGGCCGACTCTGTTTTTGGTCAACACCTGCGAGAGGATTTACGGCACTTACTACCACAGTGAAGACATGGAAAACAAGGTTGTGCTCATCACTGGCGCCTCCTCTGGAATTGGAGAGGTAAAAATCCAATTAGTTAACCAATCCCTTGCATGACTTTCACGAGTCGAGCTATAGAAAATTATCTGTGTGAAAATTCCACTTATATTGATTTTATATATATATGACTGAATTCATAAGTTATTTGTGCGACTAGAGGTGTAAACGAGTTCAGCCGAGCTCGAGCATTAAAATTGTCTGTAATTTTGGGTGAAAATTTTTGGCATTTATTAGTTTTATTTATGTAATAATTTGTGTCACTTGAAAGGATTATTTTGAAAAAAAAACATACTTTATGCAGAGGTTTAGTTGTCATTTAGAAACAGGACTAAGAAGAATATTTGCATTTGGGGTGTGCATTTCATTAGTTTAAAGTATTTTCCTTGAAAAAAAAAATTGCAGCAAATTGCGTATCAATATGCAAAGAGAGGGGCGAACCTCGTATTGGTGGCACGAAGGGAGAACAGGCTGATAGGGATTAGCGAGAACGCGAGGAGGCTGGGGGCCCCACATGTGTTGATAATGGCTGCTGATGTTGTTAAGGAAGAAGACTGTAGGAGATTCGTAAACGAAACAATCAGTTATTTCGGAGGATGTAAGCCACTTTTTTTTTCCTTCATGGATTTCGTTTTTGTATGATGTTTATATCAGATAAATAGATTTTTTATTTTACTTGCAGTGGATCATCTAGTGAATACAGTGAGTCTCGGGCATACATTCTACTTCGAGGAAGCTAATGATTCGAGCGTGTTCCCCATTTTAATGGTATGGTCTAGGCATAGAAAGATCTAGTGTTGTTGGAAACTTGGAATTCAATCGCGAAATTTAACCGAGAAAAAATAAAACGTGTTTTTTGAGATGGATTGTACTGTACATATATACAGGATATAAATTTCTGGGGCAATGTTTACCCGACTTATGTGGCGCTACCTTATTTGCGGGAGAGTAATGGTCGCATCATAGTGAATGCTTCGGTCGAGAACTGGCTGCCCCTGCCTCGAATGAGCTTGTACTCTGTAAGATCTATTCGTATTGTGTTCTCGATTCGCATAATGTTGTTGCAAGCCATATAATTCTTTAGTGTTTCGACTTTGACCTTACTGAAGATTCTTTTTTTTTTTTGGTTTCTTGCTGGTTTGTTTGCTATTGTCATGACTATAGGCTGCAAAATCGGCACTGATGAACTTTTACGAGACGTTAAGGTTTGAGGTGAAGAACGAGGTTGGTATAACAATGGCTACACATGGTTGGATCGGAACCGAGATTGCTGGTGGCAAATTCATGGTCGAGGAAGGTGCAGAAATGCAGTGGAAAGAGGAAAGAGAAGTATAAGTTCTGTGTTGGACTGTTTTTTCATTCGCCATGCTTATGAGTTAAAAAAATAAGAAAACTAATCGACTGTATTATTATTATTATTATTATTATTATTGTTATTTTTTTATGGTAAGGTACACGTGTCGGGTGGGGCGGTGGAAGAGTTTGCTAAACTGATAGTGGCGGGGGCATGCAGAGGGGACCCGTACGTGAAGTACCCGAGCTGGTACGACATTTTCTTTGTGTACCGAGTATTTGCACCAAAAGTGCTGTACTGGACTTTTCGCTTTATTCTGACCAATGGCGGAGTGAAAAGGGCAACGTCTTATATTGGCACCGGCCGGCCCCTCATTCAGGAGGTGGGGCAGCAGCTCCTTCTGGAGGCAGAATCTCCGGCAAGGAGTTCCCCCACTTACGCGCAAGCTGCTTACCAGCGTAAATATGAGTGAAAAGAAATTTGTGTTTTAGATGTTCGTTTTCTTCCTTTCTAACTTGTGTTTTCTTCCTTTCTAACTTGTGTGTACTGCTTGTAGAGTGAGGATGGATTCTTGTTAATGGGTCGAATAAGCAACAACGATTGCAATTGCAATCACAGGTTATCGTGCTTGTGCTCTTGTGATTTCTCCATTTTCAAAATGTTATTAAATTAATCGAGTCTGGCGCTAAACGAGCCGAGCTTGTTTTATCGACTTATTTGATTAACCGATAAGGCTCATTAAGGTTAAAAAGGATAAAAAAAGAGAATTTTTATATATTTTTTCATAGTTTTTGTTAAAACTCGAGATCAGCTAGAACTCGACTCTTTTACCAGATATCTTTATTGGTACAAAACAGATAGCAAATGTTGTTGCAAACTTTTTACACAACTTTAGGAAACAAGATCATATCATAACAGCCTTTCAAGTTCTCTACTTTGTCAGCTACAAAGAAAGCCTTATTTTGCAGTATATATATCCAAAAGCCTTCACCTCATATCAAAGTCAGCTTTATGTGTTACACACAACTTAGGAAAAAGAAATCATATCATAACAACAACACTTTTTTAAGTTCTCTACTTTGTCAAATTCTGCTAGAAAGAAGGCTTTATTGTAGTAGTATATTCAAAAGCCTTCACCTCTGATCAAAGTCCCCCTTAATCAGAAGTCCGGACAGTAGGCATAGCCGCAGGCCCAGAAGGTTCTTCTCCAATGTCCTTCACCAGTTTCTCGTTCGCGGCCCTTTTAGGCCCACCATACTCCCGTGAGGCCCGAGCTTCGCGCACGACATCTGTCGGGAGTGTCAGCTTCTCCTTGATAGAGTCCACCACATTTCCTGCTGCTCCATAGATGTTCTTTTTTGCTGCAATTCCTCTGTTCAAACCATGAAAAACAAAGTAACAATGTACTTTACTGATGTCATCACACAAATCAAATATAATTAGAGGTCAAAAGATAGATGACACAGTGTACCTATCGGCTGCTGTCTCTCGATCAGCCATGGCTCTCTGCTTCGCCTCATCATAAACACCCTCTTTGTTGAGCTTCACTTCTTGCATTCTTTCTCTCGCGTTGAATTCGGTCTCACCGTATTTTTCCTACAATTTTTTTTTTTTTTTTAGGTTTCAACTCAAACATGATAAGCCCTTATTATTTTCTAAAACATAAAAAATGCCTTACCGTATTTATGTCCCCGCCTTCAAGGGCTTTCTGGTCGACTTGCTCTGCCTTACCGGTAAAAACATCTCTAGCTTTTCTTAGAGCAACAGCTGCGGACTCCTTAAGGTCGGCCATTTTACCTTTTCCACCTGCAAATAATCATTTGTTTTGTTTATGTAAGTTCAATAATAATACAAAGACATGTCCTTGTTAAATAATACTTTTCATCACCTGATTGTTTAAATTCTGACTAAGGCAAATTAGAATATGACCATTCAATCTTCCCCTTGATTTATAGACTGAATGACAGTGGAAGAACTAAGCTCAAATGGGCCCTACAAGGCTACAACTGCCAAATTTCGTAATTTTCATCAAGATTCTCGAAAAAAAATTCTGAACAGAAGCTACTATAATCCGAATACTCACCGGAGTCTCATATGTGGTTTGATGTTTGAAAAAGTAGTTTGATCATATTTTTGTCCATAGAATGAATAAAAGCCAGATTATAGATCGATCAATTGATGCATGGTGACAAACAAAGAAATAGTAATACAGAATCAAATTGACTATCAAGACAAATAGTTACCATATATACTAATCACAGCTTAACAATTTATAATCAGAAAGTGGGAATATCGTAGCACATGAAATTGCAAGACCACAAACCTGATTTAACTGATTATATTGTAGCGTCCCTGTTAAAGCTTAAACTTGCTCTGCCTTTTGCGGTGTTGTCTAAAACATCCAAATTAAAATAAAACATTGCGTAGAATATGGCTGGATATGAATTTTCTTCTAGCGTTGACACGTGTTCGACACGTAAGGCCCAAGTGGCTATTTCTGAGCCACCAATATTTACACATTCTTTCTCTGTTTTCCTTTTCGTAATTGTTTTTCTTTTTCTTTTTGCTTTTTTAATTAATCATTCTTGTCGCCGATATTTACACATTCTTGTCAACGTTGTTCACATTAGGACTAAGTATGAGACTCATATCCCCATTTTTTATACGGTTCGCTCAAGTCACATGTGATATTTTATGAAAAGGAAATAAATAATTAAATTGAAATTATAAACTACATTAACTGGATCAGATTGTGTGAAATTTTATATGCATTCTAATTTTTATTTTCAGCATTTTCAACAAAATGCAGCAAAAATACGGAGATGAAGAAAGAAGAAAAAAGAAACAGAGCAAGTTTCTTTATTAAAAAATATATTTCACTACAGATAATCTTCGACGGAAATATCCAAATGCTCCCGATCGTTTCCTCCGTGCCAATCGCCGGCGGACGGCTGCTCGCCGCCGCCCCTCGAACCCGACAGCCGCGCGTCGATCGCCAGGCCGGCATCCGACGCCGCCCTCTGCACCGACCGAGGCGAGATCCCGACAGCCGCGCCGGCCGGTAGGGCCAGCGGGAAGTTGAGGTTCCCCGGCGAGGAGTCGCCGCGGAGGCAGTAGAAAGCGACGTCGTGGGCGACGGCGGCGGCCTCCGGCGTGGCGTAGGAACCGAGCCAGAGGCGCTCCGGCGTCCCTGGGACCCTAATCTCCGACACCCACTTCCCCCACTTGCGGCGGCGGACGCCCTTGAACTTCTTCTGCTCGTCTGAGTAGCTCATGTTTGTGTTTTTCCTTTTTTCTTTGTTTTTGTTGTTATTACTATTTTTGTGTGAGATTAAAGGTGTGAATTGAGGAGAAAGATTGGATTTGAGCAAATGATTATATAGGTTGAAGAATTTGAAAGTCAAAATGCAATGGAGTTGTGATTAATTGTTTACTTTTTTAATTTTTTGTCTCTAGGATATGGAGTCAATATTTTCAATGGTCAAAGTCAAAATACGGATCAGCTTTTGGTATTTAAAAAAATCCATGGACCCAACTTGTGCAATCAATCAATTTTTTACTAGTGGGAAAATATACTTAATCGTCGACTAGTTGAGGATGGAATTGAGGGAATTAGAATTGTATTAAATGCCCTGAAATCGTATAAATCGGTAAACTTATTTCTGGTAGAAAACCGAAGATTAGAATGACTATGTTTAACATGTAGCGGAACTTCTTTCTTTTAAAAATCTGATAATTATTGAACTTCGTTTCAAAATTAACGTTTTTTTTTTGTTGCCAAAACACTACTCAAATAAACTTTTTACCAATCAAGTTGATTAGCATATTTAAATGTCCAATTCGAAACGTGGTTTACCTTACTGAAAAAATATAATGTAGTTGCTAAGAGGAGAAATGAGATGGACAGATAGTTTTCCACTATATATAAAAATCCCAAAATCTAATTGTATGGAATATTTTAGCAGCCAAAATGGCATATCAGCTTTAATAAATCACGTGTGTAATGGTTTGTTAATAAATTAAGTAATGGTCAGCCTAAGCTTTAAACTCAAATTGAATATAGAAGTGGCCGACCACATGTACATAAACCAAAACTTGGTCAAAAGCACTGCTGGCAGTGTATATGTGTGTAGGTTTCGTCATCCGTTGCGTCATACTGTGGTCGGCTAGTAACCCGTGACAAATTCAAGTTTGGTACTTCATCTTTTCTAATTTACATGGCTGCCCAAAAATGTGAACTATTGTAGTAAAGTAATTGATCATTTCGTTCGACAGGTGTTCTCACCGTGTTCCGAATCATTGAACCATCACATACTCATACGAACATGCATGCACACAAGTGGTTTGAAGGCTCGAAACCCACCGTGAACAACTTGTTTGGAGGCTCAAAACGCACTGTGAGCAATGCTAAGATCAATAGAGTCGAATTAGTCAAAATAACAAGGATCAATTGAATCAACACACATTCACACGACACGAGCATTCGCGTACATAAATTATTTGAAGGCTCGAATGCCGGTGTAACAATGCTCACAAGTCATATCAATAGGGTCGAATTAGTCAAAATAACAAAGGTCAGTTGAATCAACATACAAGTAATTTGTGATTTGACGGCTCGGATTTCACTGTGGACAATGCTCACATCAATAGGATCAAATTAGCTGAAATAACGAGGGCTAGTTGTGTTCGTGGGAAAATGACCTCTAGCCGGTGTAATCTAGGCGTTATTTTACCTATATTTATTTAAATAGTTAAGGAGCTATTTTTTTAGTGTATTAATTTATTTTTATCTAGAATTAAGATAATAATCCGTGACCACATCACACTCAAATCTGGAAGACCTATTAAAAAATGGAGATAGATAAGTTTGTACGCGGTCGTACAACGTTAGTTTAGTTGACATTGTTATAATTATGATGGTGTTTAGAAGCTCAAAAATATTGACCCTGTCTAAGAACCTTCATTTTCGTAAGGTCCAAAATGGGCCAAAGGATCTGAGTCTGATGCTTACAACTTGTAATCTAGTAGCTGCCAATCTCAGCTCAGTCCATCCTAAAATAAATTGTTTTCTCAATTGAAAGATAAAAAAAAAATTATAGATTTCGATAAAAATATAGGATTATTATCAAAATCTATATATAAAAAAATTGTAACATTCCGGGTATAGCACTTTCTCGAAAAGAAAATTTGAAATTGCATAGAATTCGAAATCGAGTCTCACGAACATGAACGACACGCTTGAGTCGACAATGTGGTGTTTCCATCATTTGGCTGAACAAAATCAAGTGATAGAATCGAACTACGAAATATACAACAATTAAATGATGTTTGCTCTTTCTATAAACAAGTTCAAGAAATAGAAGGGGTAGAAGAGAGGGAAATGTGGCAGAACACAAACATTTTGAGGGCAGATATTGCTTACTTTATGCCAGATTAGGGGAAAAAAGTCATTGGAGACCATTTGAAATAGAATAAATGAAGTCCAAGAACCCGGTTCCCTTGAGTAGGCCTTTACCAGTCAGCAGTTCAAAATCCAATAGCAACAAGAAACCGATTGCTGCTGCTTTCCCGTTTATCAATTCATTCTTCCCTGTGAAACCAAAACCTTCGAGGTCTTCATCAACAATCATTTTTACCTGTAAAGGAAAATTAGAGTCTAAGTGATTTTTACTCCTGCCACATATTGATAAATTCTATTCACTAACTTTAAAAATTATAACAAAAACCGCCCTTGAGGTTTAGCCGTATTATGAAGTACTCCATCTATCTTTCCGAAAATAGACGAATACCCCCTTGATTTTTTTTTATTTTTTTTTCAGTTTTTCAGTTTTAGAAATTCCAGCCTCAATAAAGAAGATAGCATGGGAAATTAGTGAAAATGTCACCTTCCATCTTTGTGTTAGAAAATGCCACATAAATTACCACAAAAAAAGATAATTTTAATGACCGAAAGTAGCATTTTTGCAAAGAGTAAGTGATAGGTGACATTTTTGCAAATTTTCCAGATATTTTGTTGAAGCACCGGAAAAAATCTTTTAGTTTCAGACGATGACAATTTTTTCCTTTCCTGATTCTTTATATTTTTATAAGAGAAGACTAGGTCAACCTCAATGGTAACTCTAAAACTACTTTGAAAAATACTGGAACTCTTTCTACCTCATCAACATTTACATCTGAGGCCGTGACACCTGGATTAGCTTTCCCACTGAAAACTATTTCAGTAGACTTATCAGATTGCAAGCTTCTGTTAATGCTTATGTATATATTCTCGTTATCAGTTTTCACAGGATATACGAATAAAGTTCTTAGAGGTGGAGTGAGTGCTCTAAGTACAAGATTCCTAGGATACCAATCTTTAATATCTCCCGTCCGCAAATCAAAAGTGCTATCAGTTGTCGGGCAAACAATACATCCATCCTGCAACAAGTCAAAACACGCGTTATTGAATAATAAAATTGCTTCTTCTTTTTTGGCATAGCACATGCATGGCAACAACGACAAACCAAATACTTCTGATTACAGGAACTATACTAAAACCTCTGGTATAACAGGTCAAATTTCAACAATTCAAAATAGAACAAGTCGTGCAGAAACTTTTACTTTCAGCAGATTTGTGGCAGGAGCTAAAAGTAAATTGAAAGATCCAAACTTGACGTGCAAAGAGAAGCTAAAAAGTTGAATACGTTAAGCGGGCGTGCTGTGAATAAGTTGTAAACGGCTTATTTGTGATGTAGAATGACTCAAACTAGATATTCGAAGCACCACTCCCTAATTTTCAATTTTGATCAAATTAAGCAGAATTGTAAGGAAATACTGGCATTTGAAAACACTACTTTTCTTCACCAAAATTAGACAGATACAGTGTCTGAATTATCAATGTTTCAATTGATCTTATATATACAAACACATGAAATACTGAATATGCCTAATCTTTATCCCCTTTTTGGCTCTCCTCCTCAACATTATGAGAAGTCACATAGACATATACATAAGCAAATTGACTTTTATAACTGAAAATAAATAAAATAAATAAACAAATTATACAAAATCACACACAAACACACACACACACACGCGCGCGCGCGCACACACACACCTGAGTGAGCTTCGCATTGAGCAAGCCCTCAGAATAGGCGCCCTCAGCCGGAGATCTGTTCTCTATGGCGAAAACGTCGTCTTTATACCACAACAGCAACACCGTCTCACCGTCGTGTATGATCACGCGCCGCTCCCCCTTCGGCAGAGCCGCCAGGGGCACCACCGGCACCCAGCTATTTCCTTTATCCGCCGCCGCCGGCGCCGAATAAGAAGAAGATGAAGGCGGCGACACATCGGCGGCCTTGCATTTTACAACCCTAACTCCGGCGCGATTGGGTGTCGGATGAAATTCGGACAAGAGCTTCGCGAACTCTGGTTTGTGGCTGCGGGGGGTGGTGCTGGAAAGGCCGGAGATATAAAAATTAGGTGCCGCGACTGCCATGGCGAGAGGTTGAGGAAAGTGAAGGGAGGGGATTTGTGATGTGGAGGGCAAATGGCCGGCGGAGGGGAAGACAGAGAGTGAACTCCATAGCCACAGAAATAAACACACAGGATAATGACACGTAATTTTTATAGATATGTCTCAAATTATAATTAATGGGCTGGCAAAATGGGGCTCAGGAGGGTAACTGGGTTTAATTTGGTTTCAAGCCTTACAAATTCTTAATGGGCTCATTACCCAGCCAAAAAAATATCTAAGCAAAGACAATACACCACAAGTTTTTTCTTTTCTTTTTTTTTTTATTTTTATTTTTTTTTGTGTGTGTGTGTGTGTGTGTGTGTGGTCACTTTTAAATATTTTTATTCACTTTATTGGCAGTCCAATGATTTTTCACTAAATATTTATTAAATTAATAAAAAAATAATTATTTTTTAAAAATATATATTCAATATTTTTCATTGAACGTTCTTTAGCATATTTTAACACACCATTTACTAGCTCTTTTAGGAGACTCAATAGAGGAGTCATCAAATTATATATTGGATGTTAATTATTTTAAATTGAGGGTTCATCATTATTAATTTATATTTTTGAATTGAGAATTAGGTAGCTGACATTTCTAATGTATGTATATATGTAGGCAACATACAAATGCAAGTAGCATTTCTTATAAATAGACATCATTACTTATTTTTCCTCTCTTCACATTTCACATTAATATTTATTTTATCCTTCCTACATCCATGCACAAAAAATTTGGCTCATCCAATTTGGACATTTCAAAATACAAAAATTTTGGCTCATCCAGTTTGGACATTTCAGAATAAACCAAAGAGGAGGTAAAGATATATATACATATGCAAAGGCATATGTATGTAAACAACATGGCCTCAAGGGATAAATACAATAATTTTCTTGAGAAGATGAAGCCCTTGAGATATGAGAAGATTGCCAGGTTGCTTGCTAGCTTTTATCAGGCAAGAAACATGCCAGCCGGTCATGCTGACGATCGACGGCTGAGATTTTCTGATGATGGGTTTCAGGTTGATGATCAGGGTTTTGAGTCAAAGGGGGAATGTGATTGTTTTGATATTTTTGAGGATGATTGGCCTGTGAAAGATGATGAGGATGAAGATTGCAGAACTTTCTGGGAAACACAAGGGTTCTTGCTTCAGGTAACTTATTTG